CCCGAGAGCGGCTGGTTAATGGTTTAACCACAGGCTCTGAGCTGTGGAGCCCCGATCGGCGTCTCTGGTTCCGCCCCCTCGGAGCGCCCCCAGCCGGAGTTTCAAAACCGCCCCCCGCCCCGGCCTAGGGCGTCCCAGGAGCTGCCCTGCTCGCTGGGGGATCCCGGCTGCCCTCGGGTGAGTGTCCGGGCCTGGAGGGCTCAGCCTGGTTCGGCTTCCTGGGAGAGTACTGGTGTGCGTGCTTGCGTGCGTGCGTGTGTGTGTGTGTGTGTGTGTGTGTGTGTGTGTGTGTTAGACTCTGTGGCGGGGCGGGGGGTGCTCTCCGCTAACTCAAACCAGGTTCCTTGTGTTTGCCCGGGGAGATAACTGCGGCCTGGGCTTTGGAAGTTTTCTTTTTCTCCCTGGGAGAGCGGAAGGGAAATACAATGCTTTCTCTTTTCTTGTCGTCTGGGAACTTCTCCCCCTCCATCGCCCTGCCATTTTCAGGCTGCCCGGCTCCCACCTCCAGGCAGGGCTCTCACCTCGGTTCTTTGGCCCGGGTAGCGGTGTATTTGAATGGGGGAAACGTCCTGGGTGTGTGTGTGGGGGGTCCCTTTGCTGAGAAGTCTTCTGCCCTCCGTGGAGGGGTTGGGGTGTTCGAGGGAGACGGGCTTCATCTTTACCCCATGGGATGTAAACCCTGAGGGGCTTGCCAGGGGTTCCCTAAGTGCGGCTTCAAGATACTGAAGCCCCGGTCTGGGTTTCTACGAACTCTGAAGCAGACCCCGTCCGCCAGCCCCCTTTCTGAGGCTGGGCTGGAGGAGGGGACCACCAGCAGGATGGACTGAATTGTAAGAGAACAAAGAACAGGGCACAAAGGGAGGGTGGTGGGGGCTGAGCTGTGGGTTTCTGAAATAAGGGTTTGCTGGAGCAGAGTCTGGGCAGCCCTGGGCCTGAGGTGATAGTGGAGAGAGTACACGGGATTCCGGGAGGCGCCTCCTCGCTGGGCGCTGGGGCCTGGCTGAATGTGGGGAGCTGTGTTGGTTCCGTGGTTCTGTGCAAGGTGCCTTGCGACTGATTAGTACGGCTTATTGCCCCCAAACTTGGACCTTGCCCCACCACTCCTTGAGGATAGCTGCTCCTTTCCACAACCGGGGACCTGGGGGTACCCAGAGTCTTCCAGGGACCCTGGTGATCCTTGCAGGGACTGAAAGGTGCCTGTGTGATAAAGCAGGCCTGCCCCAAGCGGTGGGGGTTCTGGGTGTCTTGGCCTCTCCAACATCTCTTCGATTTCATGGATCCCTGCTAATTGTGGACCCATTGCTATATTATGTTCAGCCGTGTGGCTCAGGCCTCTGCCTTGAGCATTTCTTCCATGTTCTGTGGCTTCTGCCTTTCTCTTTTTTAACCTCTGTTTTTTCCCCCGACCCATCTCCCTCAACACTACTGTCCCCATGTGGTGTGTGTACCCCACCTATTTCTGCCCTGTGCCCCTTGAAACTGACGTCCCAGCCTCCCAGCCTGAGGACCAGGAAGTCACAATCAAACCAGGGTCTCAGGGTCTCACATATAAAGCAGGGGGGCGGGTGGACAGATGTTGACCTGGGAGGGGAACCTTAGACCCTTCAACTCAGGCACTTTTTGTGGTTACCCACACCCGCAACTCCAGGAGGCTGAAGCAGGAGAATTGCAAGTCTGAGGCCAGCCTGAGCTACATAGTGGAACCCTGCCAAAAAAAGTCAAGAGTTTTCAGGAAGAGCCTTTTAGTTCTGGCTCAGAAACTCTAGTTCCTTCCACCTTTGGAGCGATTCATTGATTTCTATGACCAGGACAGGCTGTGCTGAGCTTGGCAGGCCAGGTGTTTGGTATTGGTCTCTCCCTTTCTTCCTCTCTTTTCCTTTATCTTCCCCATTTCACACCCGTGCATCTGGATTGGGGAGCAGATAGAGGAGCCCAAAGCCAGAGTGTCAGGAGTGCTGTGGTGCAGCAACTCCAGCCCACCCACTCGGAGTCCCACAGACTCCGAGGCTCTTGTCCCTTGTTCCTTCAAGGGATCTGGGTCGATGCCAGAGATATGGCCGTGGGTGGAGAGAGAGAGATTGAGCAATCTCTGGGAGCTCAGAAGGCTGGCCTGAGCTAGGCAAGGGAGGCTTTCTCCAACCTTGGGGTCAAGAATCAAAGTCTTGTGCCACCGGACACTTGGGGAAGCGGTCACTGGACTGTCTTTCTGAGAGTCCCTGGGAAGGCTGCACCCATTTCAGCCCACTGGGTGGAGACCTGGACAGTAGTATAGGTAGGGATGCCAGATTCTGGCTAGACATAACCTTTGCGGGGGGTACCAGGGATCGAACTCAGGTCCTTGTGCTTGCAAGGCAGGCACCGGAACCACTGAGCTAAATCCCCAGCCCGTATATAACCTTCTCTTGCTTATAGGGCACTGGGGAGGAAGTTTAGCCATTAGCTTCTCACATTCCCACTCACTATGCCCCTGAAGCCCCAGCTTAAAATGCGCTTCCTTGAGGCACTTTTGGCCTCCTTCCAGCTCAGGAACACTGGAGTTTCCCTCAGGCATCATCGGCTTGCAGTTCAGGCTGTATGCCAGGGTGACAGGCGGAGCTGGTATCCAGAGCCAGCCCTCCTTTGCCTGGAAGAGGGGAACTGGTGGTCTCTACTCCACCTCCCAAGCTGAAGTGTCTTCCTTTTGGAGCTCAGGTGAGAGCGTTTTGGGGTGTGATATGAATGCAGCCCCGGTGTTTTCCCCGCTTCCTTCTTCCCAGGACGGACAGCATCTGGAAAGCAACAGTGCCAGAGCAAAAAGACCCCCAGGCATTGTGATGCTCCACCACAGCCTTTTCAGCCACCACCCTCTGCCCGGGCCATCAGGGTGGCAGATGAGGACACCTGGTGCCGCCGCCAGCTCCCTGACAGTCCCTGGGTTCTCCCTATGTGCAGTAACTGAACCTGGTCTGGAGACACCAGCTTCGAAACCCCCCAAAGTGACAAGGAGGCCAGGTTCTATATGTTCTAGCTTTTTTTTTCCCTGCCCCTCCTTTCTCCCTGTCCTGTAAGCTTTCCTCCTCTGGTCTCCTCTGGTCACTGTAAGCCTGCCTTTCCTTAGACTGTTGCTCCTAGTCCCAAAGATCAGAGAGGGGCTTGCCCACCCCTGGGCAAGGAGCTTAAGGCTGAACGAAGTAGTGGAGGACAGAGCCCTCGGGGGCCAGAGGGAACGCAGGAGCCAGTGGTACAGTGTGTGGACCTCTCTCAAGAGAACGTGGTAGGTGCAAAGATGTGACCTGTTTTCCCGTGGTTGGTCACTTTGAAGTTTTGTGCATTATTCCCAATGGTAGCACCCCCTCTCCTACTTTCCTGAGTTAGCTCATTTCCTAAGAGTAAAGGGAGATTCCCCTTTCCCACCTCAGCTCACTAAAGGAGCTTAAGTCCTCCTCCTCCTCCTCTCCGGGGACAGCCAGGCTTTGCCATGCTGAGCACAAAAGGTGAAGAAGGAGGGAAGTGCGATCGAGAAAAAGTCCGACCCGAGCAGTTGCCCAGGCCTATAATCCCAGCTGCTAGGGAGCTTGAGGCAGCAGGATTGCAAGTTTGAGGCCAACATGGGCAACTTAATGAGTTCTCAAAATTTAAGAGCGGGGGCAGGGCTTTAGTTCAGTGGCACCGCACCTTCCTCGCAAGTCCCCAGTACAAAAACAAAAACAAAAACAAAAGACAGCCTAGCCTAGGGCTGCCTGACCTTACTGCCAAAGAGACTGCAAAGGGAAGAATCTATACCTGGGCTTCAGGGGCTCGAAGGACCCTTCCTTCTCCCTACAACAGATAATCTGGGGGACCCCAGGATTTGAGAGAGAGAATGTCGCAGCCTCGTCTTCACAGTGCACATGTAATAGTGGTCACCCCACAAGTGCTTTATACCTGTTGGTTTATTTGATCCTCACAGTAAATGTTAGCAATGGCTTCGAAAGTTAAGGAGCAGTCCGAGGCATGAGTAACTTGCCCTATGTGTCGTACCGGCTTGTGACCCAGAAAGTCTGGCTGTTGATACCCAAGCTCTAGAAAGATCTAGGTGGAAGATCTGCCACCTTGAGGCTCTTTCCAGAGAGGATCCCCCCCCCCAGTGTCCCTGTGCTCCCTACTCCTTGGCAAAGTGAAACCAAACAAGGCCTGGCAGATCTGATTTCAAGTGTGGTTGCTTCCTTCTGTGGCGAGGCAGCAGGAGGGAGGAGTCCAGCTGTAACACACTCCCAGTGAGGGAGAGCTGTCCTCCAGGGGTAGTCGGCCCCCAGCCACCCTTCCCACCCTCTATGGTGGTGGTTTGCTCTGGGTGAGACTCCGGGAAACACGCGTTTCCAGGAAGGGCCCTGAAAATAAGCAAAGTTGCCGGATGTCCCTGAGTCACTGGCTCTTCGACTTCTGGGCTTCTTGGTTGGTTGTCCCTTCCGGTCACTCCCAGGCCATGGCTTCTTTCCATTCCTTTTCTGAGTTGTTCATGTTCTAGGTGGTGGGTGAGGGAAGCTTTCTCCTCCACCCTCCTTCTCACTTCCTCCCTCTGGTTCAAGGCAGATGCAGGGGCAAAGAATGAATAAGCCAATTCCCAGCCCACAAGGCAAGGGCTTTCCCCAGAGGGCCATGCTTCCCACGAATGGTGGGGAATGGGGTGTCTAAGTTAGGGGGATTTTAGCTACAAAATGTGTGTCCCTCCTGTGGGCTTCATGAGGCATATCTGTCATTCACTGTCCAAGGCAGCTGACAGTGATGCTTAGGGTCCCTCACCTCACCTCCAGTATTCTATATGCCAGAGTGGAAAAATCTGAATTCAGAATTGGGCAAGTCTAGATTGTTCTTTCCGCTCCATCCTGACCAACTACGTGACTTGGATGAATGATTTAACTGTCTAAACTTCACTCTTTTATCTCCAGAGTGGGAGCGATGATGATAATATCCTTGGGATTGCTGGGAAGAATACGAGAGATAAGAGAGATAAAGCCTTTCAATGCTTAGGGAGGTGCGTTGCAGCAGAAAAGCCATTTAATCAAAATCAAGCATCTCACAGTGCTTAGTGCTGGGTAGAAGCTCAGGGTTTCTTAGTTCTTTCTCATACTTCCTCCATGATTTACAGCTCAGAGGTCCTTGGAGGTTGGTTGGTACAAGACTATTTCCCATCTATAACAATATTCCTGGAGTGGGAT